CAGCAGCTTGATGTGAACGCCTCGACTATCCATAACGAGCTGCGACCCCTCGAGAGCAAGTCAAGCTCTGCCGCTCCAAGCTACGCAAACTCGAGCGGCCCCGGCGCCGGCCCTGCCTGCTCGCAGCGGGTCCTCACCAGCCAGGTGGCACAGTTGGATGGCACAGGGGTCAACAGCATGAGCTGCAATCAGGCCTGGTCCCCAAGCTCTGACCCCCCATCAAACAAGCCGAGGCACCGCACCGGCCGGGCGGCCGGCGCCGCTACGGCGCTCCCCCTTGAGCCGGGGCCCGTCGCCCGCGCAGCCAGCGGCGGCAGGCGCCAGAGCGAGCGCGCGCCGTGCAGTAAGCGCGCCCCGACTTCTTCGAAAACACGCAAGCGGCGCGTCTCAGCAGATTCTGAGGATGAGGACTGGTCTGCAGGTGGCGAGGGCGACGGCAGCGATGATAGCGGCGACGAGGCGAGCGGCGGCGGCGGCGGCGGCGACGCAAACGGTGCTGCGAGCAGCAGCAGCGGCGGCGGCGGCAGCGGCAGGAGCCGCGGCGCCGCCAAGCGCCGTCGCCGCGCAGCACCAGCAGCACCGGCAGTGGCAGCTAGCAAGCGCTCCAGCGGTCGCATACGCGCGGGGGGCGGCGGCACCGCGGCAGCAACGCACCGGCGGGTGCCGAGGGCGCCTGTTGCTGGTGCGGTGGCTGCGACCGATGGCGCGAGCGCAGCGGCGGAGGAGCGCCACTCGTCATCTTTCCGTGGCGTGACACGCCACCGCCGCAGCGGGCGGTGGGAGAGCCACATCTGGATCAAGGAGATGGGCAAGTGAGTGGCGGATGAGGTGTGCGTTGAGGCGGCCAAAGGAGCAACCGTTTGCGGCGCTCAATGCAAGCGCCTTGCCCATGCTGCAGGCGGAGATGCTGTTGTGGTTTGCAGCGATGCTACATGGTATCAAATCACATGATGTCCCTCTCCGTTTTGCTGATCCTTGGACTGTCAGTGCCATAAGCACACTGTCTTGCGCGCGTCAGCCGCCTTGAGGTTGCACCCTTTGGAAAATCCCATGAACCAATACGTCCCATCAATCGATAAATCCATCAGTCAATCAATCTATCCCATTGCTGCACGCAGGCAGGTGTACCTGGGCGGTTTCGAGGTGGAGGAGTCGGCCGCTGAAGCGTGAGTGGCCCCCTCATCCCCTACAGCGCCTGCCCCACTGCATGCACGGCCCGTGCTGCATGTGCCTGCGGGCCCCTGGCAGCCTCGCTCCTTAAACACCGAATTGTGCAACACGCGCAACCATTTCACTGTTCAGGTATGACATGGCCGCCCTGAAGACCAAGGGCCTCGATGTCAAGACCAACGTGAGAGCCGTCCAACGTGACGGCCGATGCGCAACTACGCGTGGCTGTCCCCCGACAGCGAGTCCAGCTTTGCCCGCGCATGGTCAGATGCGCGTGCCAGAACCAGCGCCGCTCAACCCTCAGCTGCAACTGCGGCGCAACCGCGTGTTCAGCAAGTCGGCACTCCGCCCATTTGCATGGACTCAAATTTGAAAAAAAAGTGCACCAAACCTACATTTCAACAGTTTGACAAGTCGCGTTACGGGGACCTGCTGGCTGTCCTGCACACCATCACGACAGAGGAGCTTGTCATGGCAGTGCGGCGCCAGAGCCAGGTGGGCGTATGTTGCATGGGCCCGCGATTGCTTGGACAGAGCGCGCCTCTGCTGTGCGCTCTCGAGGGCTGAGTCCTGAGGGTGGCATGTGCTGGTACGTAATTAGTACAGGCTGTGCTTTCAGGCAACCAGCAAGTGCCAGTTGCAGCCAGCTCTTGTACCCCCAACCTCAACCCCATCCTGAAAGTGTATCCAAGGCGGGTCTCTCCAATCTTGTCCACCTGTGGGCTCTGTGCACTGCTGCCTCAGGGCTTCTCCCGCGGCTCGTCCACGTACCGCGGGGTCACCGCTCACCCCTCAGGACGCTGGGAGGCGCGCATTGGTGGGTGTTGGGCACGGGTGTGCGCTGCCAGCAAAGGGTACCTGCTGCATGCATTGGCTGCAATGGTTCCTCAGCCAAGTCTCGCGTGTGCAGCCGTCAATAATTGCCGCAAGCAGCGATGTCCAAGGTCCACCTGTGCACGGCACCAATCACCAGAGATTGCCCTGCCGAAATGACCCTTGACTGTCCTTGTCCTTATCCCCTTCAAATCACTGGTGCTGAGAAAAATGCATTACAAATCAAATTTAATTGATTGCACCCACCAGGCATCCCCGGCAGCCGCCACATCTACCTGGGCCTCTACTCTGAGGAAAGGGACGCCGCGCGCGCCTACGACACAGCCCTGGTGCGCAGACAAGACGATCCAACCCTGCACACTCAAACCTTGCTCGCTGATGTTGTGCGCGATGGCGATCCAAAGGCCCCGCAGCTGATCATCAGGAGGGGCATGAATGAGTAAGCGTGCCGCTTTGTCACGCAATCAGGGGCATGTCATGGCACACTTGACGCGCGCCCTCGCTCCCTGCTGGAGTCAGGTAATTGGCTCTCCCAATGCCTCCTTGATGGCAGAGCACACCTCGAACAGTGCCACGCCAGCAAATAATATTGGGTGGAAAAAACTTTGTTGCGCCTGTCCTCCTCTCCCAATCCGTCGTGCCCAACAGTCCCTGCAATCAAACAAACACAACACCCTTCTGCGCAGGTGCGGCTCAAGGGCATGTCTGCGGCCACCAACTACAGCCTGGCTGACTACTGCTACCACCTGGCAGAGCACTACACAGTGGCCCAGGTGCGTGGAGGGGCGTCATCAGCCTAAAATGCCAGCGTGCTTGTGTTTGACTGTCATGGGGTGATGCAGCCTGCGGCATGCGCCGCACGCGTATACGACTTGCAGCACTTGCCGCCTTGAAACATCAGACTTGGTGGTGGCACACGCCTGCTTGCTGGCCTCACCTCAAGCGCTCGCACTGACGCCGACTGGCACGCCCTACATCGATCCCCATGCAGATGATCGAGGGGGGCGACCCGGCCGGCCGCCTGCTCCGCCCCCAGGAGGCGCGCCCCGAGTTTGAGGCGTGGATCAAGGGCGGGCTCGAGGGTGTGGGGCTGGCGATGCCGCCCGCCGCGCTGGAGCGGGCCAAGAGGGACACGAGCGCCGCAGACAAGCGCAGCGGCGACGGCACGGCGGACGCGGCCGGCCGCGGGGAGGGCGGGGCGGCCATCGCGGCGGCGGCGGTGGCGAAGGTCGTTGCGCAGGGCCCGGCAGGGCAGCATGCCTAGCATGGGGGGGCCTCGACGCCAGACGCGGGCGGCATCTATCTGTTAAAAACGTGCTTGATGTTGACTACTTGGCACAGCCGGGGACGGACCGCCGTGATGAGCTACCTGCTCCCTGGCAGCTCTGATAGCTATTATTTCAACCGCTGGGGTGGCCCTCATGGCCCATCCATGCATGGCATCGATGGCAAGCAAACTTCCTTGCTGGAGCAAATTGCTGCAATCGCAAGCTACGACAGCCGGTCCACATGCGATTGCACCCACCAACATGCCTGCCCCACGCTCTGCCTGCGCATAGGGGCCTTGTTTTTGCGGAGAGGAATTGTTTCTGCATAGGGGCCTTGACTGGTCTGGGGTGGGGGGGCCATGCCGCGCGCAATCTGAGACAGCACGACAAGGGGAACCAGGCGGCGGCTGATGCGAGGAAGCCGCCAAGGAGTCGACCCTCAGCTTGGCCAAATGGGCCGCATAACGGCACGCATCCATCATATGATCTAGGCTCACTGAACAGAGCACTCCATACCGTGCACTTGCGACGGCAATTTGGGAGAGTGAGGTGCAGACTCAGCATCCGGCACACACGTGCACACATGGATGCTTGCTTTTTCCACAGACCGCACCTCTGCCGGCACGCCTGGTGACAAACAGGACCTTTGCACTTTTTCACTCCTGCAAATAGCCGCGTCTGAAACACATCTCAGCACCCGCAACACTGACATGTACATTGTACCCTTGTGGCTTGTGCTGCACACGCGCACTACCACTAGCGTTTTTGCCTGAGCCCTCGTGTGCATGTTGTGGCAAACCATTCTGGGCTTTTGCCCCATAGCCAGGACTTTTTTTTGGGGGGGGGGGGCCAAGGGAGTCACGACTTGCCAAGATGGGCTGCCAGCTGGGGCCACATCCTGGGAATACCCATGGGTATTCCCATTAGTCTTGTGAGGGTGCGCAACCTCGGCTGCATCAACACGCAAGCGCGTTCGATCCCAATTCAGAGGATGACACGGGAACTCCTAGCAGGCTTGCTGAGATGCATCAATGTGATTTGGTGGCTGGACCTGCCAATAAGGACATTGAACAGCGCGCGCATGACAGATTTCACTGTAAGCTTGCACAACTGCACATGAGCGAGCTGGGGCTGGAACGCGCTTGTGTGGTGGTGTACACCTACGGGCGCTTCCAGCGTCTTCAAGAGGGCCACGCACGCACAGGTCCTGTACGGCTGGGGTGCAGGCTTAGAGACTTCTCAGAAGCGCCCAATTCCCAGCGCGCAGACACGGGCTAGGACTCCTGCAGGCCATATGCCGAAGAGCGCTGTGCAGGTCCCAGGGGCGTGACACTGGCAGTGGCAAAGCATGCCATCGGGAATGCTATGTGCACCAGTAAAGTTATACCACCACAAGCATCGTGCATCACGAGGACATGGCCAGCACCAGCACAAACACCCCAATCTCACTCCTGCACGCACAAACAACCTCACGCTAAACGCTGCTAGCAAACATGGAGACGCCTCCACAATTGGGGTTGCAGCGTAGCCCAAAGGCCTCTGCACCCACCCAACCAACAAGGGACCGTTGCACAAAGAAGAGCAATAGCACAGAAGTGACAAAGCCGCTCTAGATGTATTGCCAGGTGTGAGCCTTTCAGGTCTCGCTACCAGAACCACTAGCGCTCTCGTCCTCGCTCTCCGTGTCAGACGCGGGCAGCATGCTGTGCGGCACCAGCGCCGCGGCTGTCTGCATGTTCAGAGCTACGGCTGCTGATCCTGATTTCCCTTCGTCCCCCTCTTGACGATGCTGCTGCTGCTGCTCCTGCTGCTGCTGCTGCTGCTGCTGCTGCTGCTGCTGCTGCACCTGTTCAGGGTCCAAGGGCAGCAACACCAGGCCTTGGTGCCGCACCCGCACCGCGCTGACAGCGCCCTGCCCCACCAGCTTCAGGCCAGCTTCGGACAGGAGGGTGTCGACCTGGTACAAGGGGGGGAGGCGCCAAGCAGGTGTCGAAAGAAAGACGGTGTTGAGCTTGTGAGCGAGGGTTTTTGGCGATTGCATGCAACATCAACAAGGGCAGCAGCATCTAAATTGGTCTTTTGGTAGTCAATGCAAATGATTTGACTTGGTCAACTGCCAAGACACACCAGGACTGCGTGGTCTAGGGTGGCCGCATCTGGCGCGGCGACTTCAGGGATGGCTGCACCGTCACATGCATCAGGCGCACTACCGACATCGCCGCCGCCGCCACATGCGGCGTTGCCGCTCGCTGTCCCGCTATCCTGCTGCCGCTGCGGCCCTGCCGTTGAATCCTGCACAGCCAGCGCTGCCAGGGTGGGCTCGATGCAGTCGCCGCTGCTGCCGCTGGCGGCAACGCCGCTGCCGCTGCCAGTCTCCTGCGTGCCGCTGCCAGTCTCTTGCGCGCCGCTGCCTAAGGCTGGCAGCAGGGGGATGCCCAACTCTTGCAGCTGCACATCCGTGGCCTCGAGCACGGCCTGCGGGGTTTTATCCAATGGTTGCGTGCAGCGAGGAAGTCAGTGCTTGGATGCATGCGACGTTGTACAATTGGAGTTAAATGAGCACAAGAGCACAACGTTGTCCAGGCTGCGCCACACCCGAGCGAGCGGCAGCCCTTCACCCCCCACACCTGCGGCTGGTGCGTCCACCAGTTGACCAACAGCGTCGCCCGGGCAGCTGGCGAGAAGCTGTCCAGCACGCCGTGCCCCAGGCGGCCGTCAAAGACGCAATATGCGCCCTCCACGGGGTAGATCAGGCAGCTGCTCTCCGGGTCCTCTGGGACTGGGTGGCCAAGGGTCTGGTCAAACACCTGGTCAACCACAACCGTTGGGCCTGAGGCACGTTTGCCAGGGACGGCGCAAGTATCTCATCAGGCAGTCGCTTGAGGGAGCGGGGCGATGAAACGATTGGGCCGCTGCCTAGCAGCGGCTGATTGCAGCCGGAAGGGGCCGGCACAACCCTCCTTCAATCCACCCGCCAAAGCAAAAACCCTACTCATCAAGACCACCGGGGGCAGCCCCGTGGGCTGCCGTCTGTCCCCAGCCAGGCGCCCCAATTCATGCCAGCTGCCAGCCCAAGGCTGCCAGCCCAGGGCAGGCCACCACCAAAAGCACCCACCCTCGCGCCGCGCGCCGGCATCGCAGCTGCCCGTCAAGTACAGCACAGACGACCATACTGGGTTGACCATCGCCCCATCGCTGACCAACAGGTGCTCATCCTTGTCAAAGTGGAAGGCCAGGCCGCGCCCGGGCTCGTAAACCTTGTCGCAAGCGTAGTGAGGGCGCGTGAGCAAGCGAGTGTGTGCAGGTGCCCACAAGCGCACATGTGTGTGTACACGCGGGTTTGTTGGGCATGTGTTAGTGTGTGTGAGATTTGAACCGGCCAAGGTGGGCTGGGCAGAGAGGCGCAAATGCGGAGCCAAGCAAGGCAGCTTGCAGCTGGGCCTGGCACGCTGGCCTCGCAGGACGCACATGACTCATGTGGGCCACGAGGCGGCGCTCAGCCACTTAGGCCGCACCTGGCACCAGTACTCGGCGCCTGCCCAGTCCGGCGGCAGTCGCCGCCGCATGTGGCGCTCATACAGCTGCAGGACCGCCACGTCAGCTGCCGAGCGACAAGCGGCGGCACCAGCCTCGATGCGGGCGCGCGGCACCCAGAAGTTGGGGGCGTGGCTGATGCCCTCTGCATCTCGCTGCACTGCAGCTAGGGCGTCGGGCTGCAGGCCCTCTGGGTGCAGGTACACCCGCATAGTGCCGCTGCGGCGCTGTCGGCGCACCGCTTGTACACTAATCCAAGCCCGCGGGCGAGGCGGCGGCTTGTCGAGCGGGTGCTGCGTGCAGACCCGTGAGCCCGTGCGCGCTGCAGTGAATAGAACTTTCTGGTCAAGTGTTGAGTCGAGCTGAGTGTCCTCTACGGTATACAGAACCAGCGCTCAACCGTGCATGGGTCACCGTAGTGAGTGTGAGAAACTACTCAGAGTTATTGCTATTGTCTAGAAATTCGAGAATGTGTGTTGTTGCAGCTGATGAGTAGATGCATGCGACCGGTCTTAGGTGATCTCGGTTGAATCAAGTCGTTCGATCCTCGCGATTGCATTGGTCGTCAGCCTAGATGCTGGCTAGACAGCGGTGCCTCTTGCCTCGCAGCACGCCGCGGCATGGGACGCTGTCAAACAGCGGGGCAGCAACACCGGCGCACATGCGCGCCCAGCGTGTTTCCGTCTGCGTCCACTCGACATCCGGGACGCAGGCAATGCTGCTCGCCAGCGAGCGCGCGTCCATTTGCAAGCTTGACCGCGATCAGCTGGCTAGCGCCCTCCGCCGTCTGGGTGCGCCACCACCGCGCACACAGTCCCCAAGGGCTTTCACCCTCAGTCGAGCCAGGGATACATGTGTAACGCCCTCCCCCCCTGTCGCGATGCCGCACAAGCATTGTTCAGCGCCGCACACACACACACACGCCCCCACATCCCAGCACCCGCAACCCGCCAACACCCCTCCCCACCCCCCCAGGCGAGGACGTCCCGCCCGCCGCCGACCGCGCCGCGCTGCTGTCGCGCCTCGCCGCCCGCCGCCTCGCCGAGCGCGCCCGGGTCGTGCGGCTGCCGCTGCGGCTGACGCTCGCGCACCGGCGGTCGACGCGGCGGTACCTGACAGTCCCCGTGGACGTCGGGGACATCGGATTCGTCGACTTTCTGCTAGAGGCGGGCTCCTACAACTGCACAATCAGCCCAGACCTGCGGCAGCGGCTGGGCATCGGGCCCAGCGACGGGTCGGCGGTGCGCGCGCTGGACAGCGGCGGGCCGACGCTGCGGCAGAGGGTGGAGCTGCCAGAGATGTGGCTCGGTGGGTGGCGGCGCGCTGTGCGCGCTGCGCGTGCTTTGCACAGTTCAGAGTGACGGTGCTCCGGCGTCAAGCGCCACACGATCGCCCCGCAGCGGTCGAGGATCGGACCAGCGGCCCGTGGACAAATGCGCAGGCGGCAGGTCCACCCGGCCGTGCAGTCGCCAGCGCAGCGCCGCGGGGCGCGCTGTTACTTCTGTAGCAGCGGGGGCCTGCCCGGCCTTGATTTTCGCCCTGTTTAGCACTGTCCTGCAACCCTTCCACAATCGGCAGGCACGTTCAAGCTGCCTGCCCTGAGCGCGTGCGTCAGCGAGCTACCAGTGCCCCGCAAGGCGCGCCGCATGCAGCCGCAGCCCCCGCAGCAGCAACAGCAGCAGCAGCAGCAGCAGCAGCATCAGCAGGGCGAGGGCACGCGGCAGCAGCCGCCGCAGCTCCCGCAGGCGGGCCCGGGCGGCATGCTGGGCGTGCGGGCGCTGCGGTGCTTTGACATTGACTTTGACTGGGCCGGCAACCGCCTGGTTTTCCATCCGGCCGGACACGCGGCTGCGGGGCTGCTGGACACCAAGGGGCTGCGGCGGGTGCCCTGCCAGTTTACAAAGAGTGAGCAGCCTGCTTTTGACACGTCTGGATTGTTCACAATGTTCACAATGGACTGCACGCCAGCGTTTGCTGCGGGCCTGCTTGCAGCCAATCGCGTAATCAGGGGCACAGTGCATTTACTGCCGCGCCGCGCTCGGGCTGAGGCTGCACGTGCATGCTTGGAAACGCCCACGCAAAGGTGCGCGGCTCACCGTCACACGATCTCCTTGCACGACCGAGCGCAGCCGGCCTGGTCATCCTGTCCGTCAGCATCAACAGCAGCGCCCCGATCCTCGGAATCCTCGACCTCTCGGCCGGCGTCACGGTCCTCAACTGGTGGGACGCCGCGACATCGCATGGCGGGCAGGCCGGCTTCCACACGGCCAGCGACCGTTGATGGTCTGTGCTTGCGGAAAAGAGTTCCCCTGTGGAACACAACGCGGGGCAGTGACAAAGCACCATCACAAAGCGCACCCTCTTGGCCTCTTCCCTACATGCGCACCTGCCACTCAAAAGCAAACACGCACGTGCGCGCAGGGAGGCCGCCGAGCTGTTGGGCATGCAGTGCCAGATGGACGAGGAGCAAGCTTCCAGCGGCGTCGGCGGCGCTGGCGAAGGGAGCGACGGCGTTGGGGCTGGTAGCAGCAGTAGCGGCAGCAGCGAGGCAGCGGGGAAAGGCAAAGGCAGCGGCGGCGTCGGCGGGAGGGGGCCGGCCTATGGGGCGGGCTACTTTGGCAGCGTGCGGGTGAGGCCCTATGAGCAGCTGCTGCTAGGCCGCCCAGCGCCTGGCGGTCAGCCACATGGACAGCATGGGCACGACCACCACAGGGCGGCTGGCAGCGCCGCCGCGGGCGGGGGCAAACCCGCGCCGCTGCAGATACGGCTGGCGCCGACTGTGGAGCAGGGACTCATCGGCGGCAGCGCTGGCAGCAGCGCTGCCGCTGCAGGGCGACAGCAGCAGCAGCAGCAGCAGCAGCAGCAGCAGCAGCAGCAGGCGCGCGGCGCGGGCGGCCCCGCCCAGCGACCGCCACCGCCGCGCGCCTCCGGAACCGGCGGTGGGGGCGGCGCGGCGCCGCTGGTGCAGGTGCACGATGTGTACGAGCACGAGGTCGATCTGGTGCTGGGCGCCGGCGCGCGCAGCGGCGGCGCGCGCGTGCCGCCGCCGCCCAAGCTGGCGGTTGCCCACCTGAAGGGCCTGGCGCAGCTGGGCCTCGGCGGGCGGCCAGCGGTGGTGGTGGGGGCCGACATTTGGGGGCGGCGGCGGATGGTGCTCTGCCTCAAGGCCGGGATTATGTATTTGTGACGCGCCAGCTGCGCATATCGGCTACCGCTTGCCCACGATCAACCCTTGCCACATCTCAAGCCACCGCATCATGCACTTGGACTCATCGACACGTGTCGACTGGAGTGCTGTGCGTGCAGCTGCTGGTTCGTGATGCTGCACTTCTTCCCTTGGCGTGGGCAGTTGCACTGGTGATCTTCTTGACACTCGTTTACTAGACAAAATTGTGCCAGACATTAGATACACTGCTCACAAGACCCTATCCCAATGCTGGCCACTCTTCAGATCTTGTCTGCCGCGTGCTGCTTCACTGCAATTCTTCGCCAGCTGTCTCAACCTTGTGGTGCTGCGCGGAAGCCACCACCATTGTCGATATGCAGGCGTGTTACACAGTGGCGTTGCGAACACAACCCGCCCACAAAACTGTACGTGCTGCTGCAGGGTGATTCGTTTAGTAGAGGGCCTCCTCCTGTGGGTGTGCGCAGAGGGCGGGAGCGGAGGCGTCGGCGGATATGGAACTGACTCAGCAGGCTACAAAATTGATTGGTGCAGGCGGTTCAAGGACCCTTACTCATCGCAGCAGGGCTCTCGAAGCACGCGGTTAGAGAGGTGATGAGGGGCTTGCAGCAATTTGTGGCGGCGACTCGCACCTGGTTGGTCAGGATAGTCACGTCGCTGGTGGGGTAGGCCACGCAGGTGAGCACAAACCTATCAAGAAACGTGATTTGAGGGGCATTCAGGGAGTGGGCGTCAGAAAGCGGTGAGTAGCGTCTTGTGTGCGCAAGCTTGCGTGCGTCCATCCAAGGATCCCGGCAGGCCAGCTGCTGCGCACCCGTTGCCGATCTGGGAGTCGTCCAGGAAAGACTGGTCGCTCTGATCGACGGAGCCCGCCTCCACCTTGCCCGCGCAGCTGGAGCAGGCGCCTGGGGAAATAGGGGCCATGGCGCGGGTCGCAGTCGGGAGTGAGCTTCGCTGCCTGCAACGATGTCCGGTCCGGTCCGGTCCAGGTGAGATTGCCTGGCTGGCGCTGTTCCCCATTCTGCCCAGCGTGTGCCATTCGCTGCTCTGTCTCTGCTCCTATTCAGTAGCGGTGCAGTCGTGGCTACTGGTCTGCATATGCTGCGTGCTGTCGTCCATGTGCAGCTGCTGTATCAACAGTTGCAGCCAAGGCGTGGCGGCCAGGTGCCTCTGCCCAGGCGTGCAAATAGGACCTGGTAATCAATACGGGCCCAATCACGTGTCTGTGCTCGCTGGGAAAACGCCCTGCTCGCACGAACCCGCGATCAGCGCCCGCTGCTTCAACCTCGACTGGGCTGTGCTGCGGACTCCAAATGCATCGTACAAGCTGGTACAGAGACAAATAAAGAATCGCGATCGCTCCGGCGGTCAATGGCCATTCGGGGACGATTCCGGGACGCGATCTGTGCTCACCGGCCCTGCAGGAGTAGGGCAGGTCAAGGCCGGCCTCCTCGGCGGCGTCCAGGATGTAGGTGTCGTCGGCCACGTCGATGACCTTCTCGCCTGGGGATCATTGAATGTGGGTGGGGATCAGTGTTGGCGGAGGTGGGGGAGAGGGTGTGGAATGCCCACGACCCGGACAACGGCCGCCACGGCGGATGTGCGTCCATGCGCACGCTCAAAAGGTGTCTTGTATCCCTTTTGCATCGATGACAATGCGCCATTGGCGGGAGAGAGCCCCGGAAGGGCCAGAGAGCCTCCTGCGTTCGAGATGGGTCCTCGCCCCACCTACGACACGAGGCCCGCTTTGCTCACCGCTGGGGGTCTTGAGGGTCACCTTGTAGGTGGCAGCCATCACCACACGGCTGCGAGCAGCCGGGCGAGTGGCGGAGCGAGCGGCGACGGGGGCGCGAGCGAGCTGCATTGTTGCTGCTTCTGTGAGGGAGCGAGTAAAGTCAATGAAGCGATCGTCGCAATGAGGTGCGGAATCGGGAGCACGCCGCAATTCATCCAGTCCGTGCGTTGCCCATGCTTGATCCGGTAGCTTCCACCCCGCGGAGTCACCTTTGTCGAGCAGTATACGTCGATGTCTCGTCTGGACCAACCATCGCTTGATCTGGGGCGGATGGGGGCGTGTGCCGGCGCGTGCGCAACATGCGGCAGCATGCGCCCCCCACCTTGAACCAGGGTTTGCATGGTGGATGGGCACTCGTGCATGCTGCAATTGCATCTGCATTGCCCAAACGTACTTCGCACTAGCCCGTGTGCATCACATGTACGTGCAGGTCGTATTTGTGCGCGTTCGCACGCGTGTGTGTGTCGTGTGTGCACGTGCGCACGCACACAGCACGCCACGTACAGATATTATGTGCGTCACCATGCCTGCCTCCTTGCTGTTCTTGTCTAGTCAGTCAAGGCATAGGCATGCGTCTAAATCATTGCAGCACAAACTTGGCCCCTTGTATTTCAAGCTGCCAGGGGAGGCAGAAACAGCATTACAGCGAGGGTGACACGCGTTCTGGAGAGCTTGGGGCCCCATCCACTGCGCCCACGCCATAAAACTTTTCCCAGCGCGCCGCCTGCTGCGCCCGCAGCTTCTCAAACCGCGCCGGCTCGGGCAGCGACCAGCTCATGTCCTCGCCGGTCACGGGGTGCTCCAGCTCGATCGCCCCCGCCCACAGCGCCATGCCCCACCCCTTGAGCAGCTCCACTTCGTTGCCTTCGCCGCCGCCGCCGCCGCCGTCAGCTGCCTGCATCCGCGCTCGCAGCTCGTCCGGCGGCGCTGCCATCAGCGCCGCCTCCGCCGCCGCCTCCCCTGCCGCGCCGCCGGCCCAACGGGTGTACAGCGGGTCCCCGAGGATGGGGTGCCCGAGGCAGATCGCCAGGTGGCGCCTCAGCTGGTGGCGCCGTCCCGTCCTTGGCACGAGGTCCACGGTGGTGATCCAGCCGCCGTACCGCAGGCAGCGCGAGTGGGAGGCGACGCGGACCTCTGTGTGCGCGGGGCGGCCCTCAACGGGGTGGTCTATGATGATGGGGCCGCCGCCTGGCGGCCCGTCCAGACGGCCCGCCACCAGCGCGCGGTATTGCTTGCGCACGTGCCTGGTGATTGGTTGGCGAGCGCAAGGGGTATGCCGTACGAGTGTGGGTGGGGGGGTACATGCGTGCATAGACAAAAATAACTGAGGCCGCCAGCCGACTGGTCTGCGCCTGCATGACAGGCGGACAGGCTCATGGCGTTGTGGTCTTGGTGCTTCGCTGGGCTTGACCAGCGGTGCCACCTGCGAGAGGCACTGTTTGTGCCTGTCCTGTCACATGCCTCGTTGCTGACAACAACGATCCTGCGGGCCGCGGCGGGTGCGGTCACGCGCTGCAGGTGGAACCTGCAACACGCACACAGCACGCGCAGCCCGCCGCCACTCGCCAGGCTTGGGCTGGGCGCTCACAGCCAAGCGCGGCTGTCGGGCCTTACCCTTTCACTCACCTCGCCTCAAACTGGCGCGCCAGCGCCGCCGCGGCCGGCCGCGTTTTGACGAAGAGCATGACGCCCCCGGTCAGCTGGTCCAGCCGGTGCGCGGGGTGGGCGCCGCCCGGCAGCGCCTCAGCTGCGAGGGGGTGGAGTCGGCAACCACCAGTCCGCATGGGTGACGCACAGCAGACGCGGCCATGCACGAGCAGGTAGTGCACGAGGCTGAAATCTCAGCCCGGCATGCAGCTCCCAGCCTGTACAGTCAAGCGCACCGTGCTGTGGGGCGTCCGGGCCGCATGCGTGTACGACTCAACGTCTGGCGCACGCACCTTGGTTGCTGGGCGGCACGAGGGCGCGCACATAGGCAGCCAGGTGGTGCGACCCATAGCCGTGGCACTTGATGCCCCAGGGCTTGACCACCGCAGTGATGTAGTCGTCATCAAATAAGATTGGGATGTGGATGCCTGGGGGCGGCGGCGTCGCGCGCGGCCTGCGCTGCCCCCGCTGCTGAGGATCTGTCGAGAAGCTGCCTGGTTGCTCCACCGGCTCCAAGACCTGCAGCAGCTGCCCCACACACACCTGTGCACCGCAGCCGCTGGTGGCGCCGTCGACCAGCACGCGGCGGCGGCGGCAGGCCTTGCGGGCAGCTGTCATCGTTGCAAACGCGCCGGGAAATGTCGCGCAGAGGGCGTCTGGCAGCGGTGCGGCGGCGGCCGCGTGTGATGAATGCGCGACGCGCATGGCTGCAGGGCTCTCATGCTTGCTACGGCCGAGCGCAGGCGGCTGTCCGGCGGCGGAAACACCAGGAGCCGCTACTACTGGTGTGCTGCTGCTTTGGATTGCCGAGCGCTGCCAAAATGAGAGTCTGCTGCGACGTGCGAATGGCAAATGCAGCCGTGGCGAAGAATCTCGTCCATTCACTGTTAAAAGCCGACTTGCTGTTGGGTGCAGGCGATGCAAGATCATTTCCTTGCAAAACACGTATACAGCACAACACCGGTTGATAGAGTCTGGGCCGAAGTTGTGATGTGCATAATTCAGGCGTGTGCACCTGACGTTCCGGTCCAAAGACCCACGTCCCAAGGAAAAGTGTGTCGGGCGTTCGCTGCGGTCAAAGCTAGTGTGCCGACCGTTGCCGACAATCACTGCTGCCAGGATTGCTTGGCAGCAACCCACAACATGGAGCTATCATAAGGTCACTGCCTAGCTCAAGCATTGGACAACCTAAGAGCCTGCACGCGTATGCGCATGTGCCTGTGTCAATGCTCCATGTCAAACCACCAGTCTATGTATGCCTTGGCATCTGACCATTTGTGTGCAATCAGACAATTAGCTGGTGTCTTGTGCATATGTGCCATACCCGGCTCATGCAGTTGGATATGACACGAAGCATGTCGTCCTGCCAACAGTCAGCCTCAACCATCCTGCAGCCTCTTCTTGTCCCGAGGCCAGGTTCCTCACCACCTTGGGCAGAAGGCGGCCAGCGGGTCCACTGGGCTCAGGCTTGCAGCTGAGCATGTCTCAGCCATGTGCCACAACGACAGGGCACTCGGGATCCCCAATGGGCAGTGGTTTGACACACCTGATGCTGCGAGTGCGGCTCCTGTATGCCATACAGTACAAAATTGACTTGTACTGACATAATGTGCAGGCGGGTAGCAAGTCTTGTTTCATCCAGTGAAAGTCCTTGTGTACGCCCACCAGTCTGGCTGGTTGCATGAACATTGTCATGATCGCCCCTGCTGAGTGCGACGCGACTTGCTTGCTCTTGCCTTGTGCACTGCGGGTTCCCCGGTCCAGCACAGGAACACAGAGACGACCAAGTGCAAGCCTGTATATTCGCATGCACAATAGCATTTGCATAGCCCGCGCTGTCAGACGCCGCCCGCGATCAGTGCCTTCAGATCACATTCAGACACTGCCAAGGTCAGCTGCTGGATGAGTAGGTTCGGAATGTCGAGGGATCTCGCGCTGTTTTGAGTTCAGAGTGCTGCAGTGCCACAGCTGGACACACCGGAGGCATGATGGAGACGTTCTGCGGCAAGCACCGCTGGTCTTTGCTGCCCAGCCACCGTGCACGTGTTAATGGCACATAGTGCTCTCGGTCTCGCTGCTGTGTACGCAGGATCAAGGTACCGCGGCTAGTTGACAGGGACAGGCGGCGGGCGGCTGTGCACTGAAGTTGCGCTCGGCACAACAGCGCGGCGACCGCGGCTGCCAGCTCTTGCGCCTTCCGGAGGCCTTGCTTTGGTTCAATAGCCCCGCCTTAGCGGCGGCGGCGGCAGCGGCGGCGGCCCACGCTGCAGAGACAGCAGCGGCCGAGCAGCCATGTTCTGCGCGATCAGCGGCACGGTGCCAGAGGAGCCCGTCGTCTCGAAGAAGACGGGCCACGTCTTTGAGCGGCGGCTGATCGAGAAGTACGTCCAAGAGACGGGCAAGTGCCCCGTCACCCAGGCCGAGCTCAGCCAGGACGACCTGCTGCCGCTGGCGACGAACAAGACCGTCAAGCCGCGCGCGACGCCGGCGACCAGCATACCCGGCCTGCTGGGGCTGTTCCACGATGAGTGGGATGCGCTCATGCTGGAGACCCACGCGCTGCGGCAGGCGCTGCACACCAGCCGGCAGGAGCTGAGCCATGCGCTATACCAGCACGACGCGGCGTGCCGCGTGATCGCGCGGCTGATGCGGGAGCGCGACGAGGCGCGCGGCGCGCTCGACAGCATGCGGTGAGGCGGGGGCGGGGGCCGCACGGTGTGTGTGTGCGTGCGTGTGTGTGTGTGTGTGTGTGTATGTGTGTGCGCGCGTGTGCACGTGCGGGTGCGCGCTTACGCGGGGGTCCGGGGCGCAAGGCCTGCGGTGGGGGCATGTAGTTGCAGGGGCGCAGAGAGGGGCGGGGGCGATGTCCGCCTGCGCGAATGCACCGGCTGGCTTGAGGGTCAAGGCAGGGGACGGACTGGTCTGGCAGCCGGACAGCCGATTGGATTCACTGGCCCTTGCTGCCAGCACTGACGCAGCTGCTTTTCTGGGCCCACCTCTCTTTGCCGCCCCGCCCCCCAAGGGAGACTCTGCGGGCCGAGTTCGAGGCTAAGAAGCGCGGCGCGGAGGACGGCGCCGCCGAGGACGGCGAGGAGGCGCCCAGCAAGCGCGCCAAGGCTGCGGGGATACCCCAGGTGGGGGCCGCAGCTGAAGGGCACTCTCTGCTGATCATCACATGGAGAAAGGAAGTGTAGTGAAGGCCTTGCTGCGATTACAGCACATGGTGCTGCGGGGTATGGGTCTGTGAGCATCATTCCGCCCCTGCCCTGCGCGCATACTGCACTGCGGCGCATCCGCCGGCCGCTCCCCCGCGCCAGCGCCTGCGGCCAGCCGCCTCGCGGGGGGCGCCCCATGACGCGCGCTCCCAGCCGACTGCGCGCAACGCCACGCGACCGACCGTAGTCCGTGCTGGACGAGGTTGCCGAGGTTAACGCGGCGCTGTCCAAGGCGCGCAAGAAGCGCGTCGTGCCCGACAGCGTGGCGACGCCCGAGGAGGTGGCGGGGTATACGCTCGTGGGCAGCTACGCGGTGCACAGCGCCAGCAAAGGCGGCATCGCGGACATTGACCTGCACCCGCAGCAGGTGGGGGAAGGCTCGGGCTGCAGAAGAGGTGCCTTGCGCTGCAGTGGTGGCATCCTAGCGCAAACGCTGTTTTTTCAGGGGTGGGAGTGCGTGTGTGTGTGTGTGCTGGGGGGTGCGTGCCGTGTCTTTGTGTGTGTGTGCGTGCGTGTGCGTATATGTGCGTGGATCTTTGTGCTGGCTTGGGGATCATGTGAGCTGGCTTGGGGATCATGTGAGCTTGTGTGTGTGTGTGTGTGTGTCTGTGTGTCTGTGTTCGTGAGCTTGCGTGCGAGTGTGTGCTCGAGCAGGGTATCTTGACTGCAACTTATCGAAGGTGCATGCGCCATGCACGATTGCTTGTTGTCCCTGCAACCTGATTGCGCCTACCAACCCCAGCGCGCCCACTCTTACCCCCCCTTTTCCCGATCCACGCCCGCAGCCCAGCGTCGCGGCCACCGCCGGCGCCGACTCGACCGTGCGGCTGTTTGACACCCAGCAGGAGCGCCAGCTCGCCTCCCTGCAGGGCCACACGAAGCGCGTCACCGCCGCCCGCTTCGCCGGCGCGACCGCGCTCGTCACGGGCTCCGCCGACAAGACGGTGCGGCTCTGGCGCGCCGAGGCGGAGGGCGGCGACCCGGCCGGTGGCTACAAGTGCGCGGCGGTGCTGTCGGACCATGCCGGCGAGGTGGTGGCGGTGACCGTGCACCCGGGGCAGCGCTACTTTGTCAGTGCGTCGGCGGACGCCAGCTGGGCGTTCTGGGATGTGGAGGGCGCGGCGTGCCTCAAGCAGGTGTGGGGGGAGT